GTATTTTTTTTTTTAATTTTGAATTTTCAGCTCTTAATAATTTAACTTCTTGAAAGTTGAAACTAGATTTTCCATGACCCGCGAATAACAACTCAGTGGCTTTTTCTTGTAAATATGATGATAAAATTTTTCCTTTATTTGGTCCATCTGTATATGTCATATTTTTAAATAACTGAGAGCAAGAGATTAATTCTTTTTCTGATAAATAGTTTAATTTTGTTACTAGATCTCTTTTTATTTTTTCTATTTTTGAGAGAGCCGATTGTGAAGTTGATGTTTGATTAACTGAATTTTCTAAATTTTCAATTAATTTTTCAATTTTTAATAGGTCAATCGAATGATTTTCAGTAATTAATTGAAGATTTCTATATCGACAAATATAAAAATCGCATGTTGAATTTTTAATTTCTGGTATATTATGGGGTTTTAACTTTTTTGTATAGCGTGCATTTTTACAATTTTTAAGAGTTCTAGATAGGTGAGACATTTTAATTTTTTTTTTTTTAAAAAAAAATAATTTTATTATAATTTATCATTATATTTAAAAAAAAAAAAAAAAACTAAATATAGATTAATAAACAATAACGCTATTCGAAATTAATTTAATAAGATTTTATCATTATTATAATTTATTTTGCATACAATTATACATTGCTTTAATATTACTTGATATCACTTTAATATATCGCTTTGATCAATTTGATATATCGCTTTGATCTATATTGAACAATTAAAAACAAGAATTAATATTATATATGTCCCTGCATATTTAATTTACTATATCTTATCTAACAAAAACTGTTTAATAAATAATCGCTTATATATACTTAGTGATGTACATTAGACAAAATTGGACATTTGGACACCTTTGAATTAGACGTTTAATCCTATGTCCAATTCAATGTCCAATCGTGATTCTTGGACATTTGGATGTCCAAAACTATCAAATCATTAGATATAACATAACAACACTGTATATACTGTATATAATAAACTTTCAATCGCTAAGGTTTTACAAAAACTTCACTGTTTGTAAAAAAAATTTATTTATTTTGTTAAGAATTATATATAGAACGCTAATATAGAGAGAATATTTTTATTTAATATACATACTAAAATTTTTTATTATCTACGCAAAATTTGTTATTTTTTGATATTTTTAAAAAAAGATTTTTGCATAATTGACTTTTTTATAAATTAAAAAACTCTCTATATTATTAAACTACAATGCATTTTTATTAGATTCAAGCAAAATTTAAATCTCTATCGTTGAAAATAAAGGAAGAGTAGCGATTTTTTTTTACTATATGAATTTCGGAAAAGTTGCAGGTTACGTAAAAAAATATTGATACCGATTTTAATATATGATCTTCAATAGATTTGTTAATAAATAGGACATCGCATACCCCAGTAAGTTATGTATAATAATAATCCTTTAATAACCTTAATGCTGGCTAAATTTATTCTGGTCGGAGTTAATATAAAGCCGACCTGCTTTACTATATATATTTTGTAACTTACATAAGGTCATATAACTTACGATGTAACTTACAATGTAAGTTACATTGTCAGGTAAGTTATTACAACCCTACGTTTATCAAATGATTGTCGATCACTGTACCGAAAATTTTACTTTTTTTTTCAATATTTAAGTTTTTTTTAAAACTTTTAGCAATGATTTCTCGGTATCTATTGAACCAAATTCAATGAGCTTTTTTTTATTATAATTCTACAAAGCTATATAATTAAATTCACGAAACTTTTTTTTTACTGAATTAGGTCAAGTATTCATTAAGAAATCATCGCTAGAAGTTTTAAAAAACTTTTGAATTTATTGTCCGAAGCATAGCGAGGACATGTACAGTACATGTAAAAGTTGAAAAATGCCCGTCTGTCCGCCACGTGACTTTATTGACTGACTATCACGGTCCATACTAAACCTTTTATCTGTCTGTCTGCTACGTGATATTACTCTTATTGACCGATAATTAATTAATATTAATAACAGTAATGATGTTAGGACAACAGTTCCTGTTAACCTAGTTAATAGGATCTGCATGACCTGGCACAGAATTCATACGTGCTCATAAAAATAAGAGCAAAAAAAAACAAACCAAAAAAGTTTATCTTTAGTATCTTTATAAATTTTTGTTCTACTTAATAACATAGTGATATAAACCTTACTTTTGACCCGTGAAGCCCTTGAATGAATACTTGTAATATGTATTGAAGAAAACAGTTAAAACTCGAGAAGCCACTATTCTAGAGATTTTTATTAAAGAATTATTATAGAAATAAAGCATAAAACCAAATTATATTCTAATCGTTAGATAATGAATATTGTTTACATTAAAATGAATATCTAATATATTTTTTTTAAACTAGTCTGTAAAATCCCATACAGATTCCAAAAATGATACGTTATTCACAAATGAGTTTCAGAATTTTTTTATAATTATGAATCAAGAAAATTAGATAGGCATCTTTTTTGATAAATATGATATTGGTAAGCTATTATGTAAATAGTAAGTTAAAATTTTTGCATTAGATCAAAATTATTATAATGTCACTAATAACTATAGTATAAAACAGTAGAAATTAGGGATGCATCGGTCCGGTCCGGTCCGTCCCGGTCCCTAATGGACCGATTAAATAGTGATTTACGGTCCTTCTATAATACGTCATCTCTAAATGCACGAGATATTATTGGTCGAAAATGACGTAATTACAGATCGTCGGATGTAAACAAACATCATATGATCTACGTTACACCTGATCAAGAAATTTGATTGGGTGATACGAAGATCACTGTTATGTTTACAGGGACCGGTCCGGACCGGTCCTTTAACGGTTCCACGGTCCTTATCGGTCCCGGTCCAGACCGGTCTTTTTCAGGACCGATGCAACCCTAGTAGAAATATTTATAGTTGTTTTCAAAAAGGTGTAAACAGACATACACCATTATATTGTGGGAGATCGCACGATTTCCCGATTTCACTGAAAATCAGAGAATCAAAGGGAAATCAGGAAAATCGTGCAGATTTCTCATGGTATAATGGTGCGCACATGGTTACACCTTTTTGAAAACAGTTGTAAAGTGAACTTTGAATATAATGATGGGACTTCTAGAATTATTAATAATTAATGGGTATCTGTTTGGCTATTGTACAGTACTAAATTTAGTACATACAAAAAAAAATTATTTTGAATTGATTATTTAACCAAATTTATTCAAATTTTGCCAAAATATATTTGAATATTAGTTATCTTTTTACATAATTAACGCGTCTAACCCATTTTCACCACTGGCTAACCACTCTTATTAGATATAGGAATTGAAATCTGGGAGCCTTAATTTAAAAATATAAACCCTACTAAAACCAACCTATGTTCTTTTATTATAAATCTAACCCTAAATCCTAGTCCAAATATAAAAAAAAACGCCTAAAAAATGTACTCTAAAATTTTTAAAAATCGTATATTAAATACCGGTAGTTTTATTTCACGATCATCCGGTTTCATGATCATCTGACATAACTTGGAGAACGTTGTATTTAGATATTAGTAGTCTAAATATTTCTAATATTTCTTCGCTATTTATGAATATATTTGCCGTTACCCTCTATTTAATTTTTCAGAAATTCAGACATTAAATTTGATTTAATTACGATTTTTTGTGATAGAGAAATAAATTAATAATCATTAGCTAAAAACTCGAAGGTCACATGAATCTTAAAATTTATTTATTTTTAATTGAATGTAGTTATTTAATATACATTATACTATATTTACTAGATATAGACATCCTATCGCTATGATTCAGTACACTGTAACACGTTATTGTCTAAGCCGATAAGCCATTTTTAATGGCTTAGCCTAGCCGTAAAAACTTAATCGGCTTGGATCACTATATGGAGGTAATAGTTGTGTTCTCACAAAGATTTCAAAAATTATTTGATTGCAAATAATTTCATTAAGACATAAATAAGATTCCTGCAAGTTCGTAGAAACATTGCAATTCAAGCTTACAATTTATTTCATAGTTTTTATAAAGAGGCCAATTCTAATTCTATACAAGTGACTGTTAAAAGATATGATATAACTTGTATATTTGAATAGTGGTTTTGGGCGACTTGGAAATGTAATCTTAAAAGGATTTAGTAGAGCTTGCTCATTAACATTTTAACATCAAAAGAAATATTTTTATAAGACTTATATCATTAAAATGGTGGTGACCTAGTAGCACTCACTTGGTAATATTATCATCTTGAGAAATGTCCAAAAATGTTATGTACAGTACGTACATATAGTTGTTAGGCGACCTCGAGGTTTCGCGCTGACGAAACGCGAAGCTTAGTTCGTCTTTTGTCAATTAAAATCATAAATGACGAAATACTGAAACTGATGAAAGGTGACGAAACTGACGAAACTGCAAAGGGTGACAAAATTAATAAAGGATGAATATACAGATAAATGTTGAAACTCATTGAAGATAGTAACATATTTACATATTAAATTGACATTACAAATTTGCGAATTCGACATTTCGATGTAGCTGGCCTAGTCGTCGACTAATATCATTGGTTTATGAGTATAATATTAACTAATGATCAGTCGATGATTTAGTGGCATATTGCTTAAGAAAAAAATGGCTTAAACATATTATTCAAAATAAAAATAAATAATTTCGAAAAAAGAACAAATCGTTACAGCTAATTCTAATGAAACATGTTTTGAAAAATCATATCTAATGTCAAGTTTTGATAACATGGATAATAGTGATAACAATTTGAAAAAGAAAATATAATGCAGACGATTGCAATATTAATACTAATGATATTACTTAAGACGAAGCAATAATCGAATCTTCCATTCAAGCTATACATAAAAATCATGGGACAAATTTTGAGAACTGGTTACTTTTTGGAAAAAATTAATAATATTTAATTGCATTCGCATTTGTTATTTACAGCATAGTGTTACTGGGTGATTCGTATGATTAATGATTTATGTACGAAAATATAGAATTTATGTGATAAGGCAACTCGCCAGAGACGTGACGTTGTGATTTGACAATAGTTTAATTTATTAACAGGATTTATCAGAGTGATTTATTAATGTATTATGAAGGAATTATTGGAATCCCATAGGATAACTTTCACAAGAGAGAAATTACAGTGCCTTTATAGCTTTTACTATCCTAGCGAATTAAAGGGGCCTAGGGACAAATTACATATTGCATATTTGAAGAATCAAGGAAAACTAGCTCTAAAGTAAGGGGTTTACAATGATAACATTATTATAATAACAAGGAAAAGGCTTTGCTTTGCTTCTTGCAATATTTCATATTGCAGCCACTTGTAAGTATATCTTGATTTTTCTATCTTTAATCTTTTCTTCTATGCGTACTTGTTCTTCAGATTTCACATAGGTTTGTTGATTGTAGTTGGCCAATAGCCTCAACCAATAAACCCGTTATTGAATGTC